GATAGGGCCAATAAAAAGCTCCAGAAAACGTTTCAGCGGAAATATAGTAACTTTTTCCCACTTCTCCTTTCAAATAGGGTGGCGATGGGAGATTTCAGCCACAAGTAGGATTGATTGAACACGGCAAGAACAAACTTCAAAACTGAAATTTTCCTCCTTCTTCTCCCTTTCCAGCAGATATTCGAAACATTCATCCAGCATGCTTGGTAGACGATCCTTAAAATGTGACAAAATGAGTGGCGGGAAGCTGAGGTAGTGAGGAAGCTCTAATGGAAAAGAAGATAACCGGTTGGATTGCTGCTTTATGGACTTCTAACTACATGAATACACTAAATGAAGCAAATCTTACAACAACAAATTGAGAGAGAAAAGGTTGAAAAACAAGCCAATCTACGAAAAAGCTATGCCTTGAAAACACTCTAAACTGCACCTATGTCGGAATTGCAGTTAAGCCATTTCTGGAAGAAGTGCATATCTTCCTCACGCATTTTACAGATTATTAGCAGTTAATACCAGCAGTAGTGAGCCAGGATAGTTCTCACAAATCTTATGAATGTTAACAAAATTTATTGGATATGATATCAATGCTACTGCTCCGAAGCGTAGCTCCCGTGTCTACCCTTGTTCCAGATCTTAAAATAATAGCGGATGAAATAATGGCTCTTTTATAAACTCATTGCATTAGCCGGAACTTTTAGAATTACAATCTTTTCATTTTTATTTCGAAACTCATCCATGGGTGCCCTGCGATGAATGAATCGGTTATCGGCATGCATGGCCGTGGCTACGCCTTTCATATGTGGCTGACAATGAACCCATTTGAATAAAAATCTCAATGAATCTCGTGTTCAATTACTGACTATCCAACTTGCCGGGACCTCGTAGATCTCTTTGGAATATTTGCGAAGAGTTCAAAAATTCAAAGCACTTCTTCGCACCTCTTCATTCATAGCCGGTATAACGACCGACAAGTACACTGTGGAATCAGTAAACAACGGTCTCACATTGGGATCATCACGAAGAAGGTTCGTCAGCCTAAAATAGCACAGTAAAGGTACGCATTGCCGAAGAACAAAATAAAATGGAAATGTTGCGATAACTGACGCGTCGCCTTCACCGCTACTGTCATACGATTTCACAGGAGTGAGGAAGTCTTTTCGTTTTCGTTTCGGCCATGATGTAAGAGTTGAGAGTCTAAAATACTGTCTTTAAACGGGAAAACACACCAATTTTTATAAGGCGTAACTTACAAGAAGAGGCTACTAAAGGCTAGAGCTGTTATTGTAACACCGAACACCAACAGATTCGTGAGAGACAGCTTACCAAACAGTAACGTCAACAGCAACATCTGAAATAAGAATCGATCTGGTTTTATATATTATTAGCAAAATATGCTAACGATGTACCTTTTACACTTCCTAATGAAATTCAAAAACCTGAAAAAGATTTCATGCTCTAGCGCTAATAGTGGAGATCTGCAGGTTACTGCATTACGGTGGCATGTGTTGGCAATAGAGCGCGTCAACTGTTGCCAGATTTGAATGCCATTTTGGGAATCATGAATGGTTTTATTGGAGGATTTTAACGGATTCGATAGGGAAAACGTTATCGCGCGCTAACTGGGACGAGCATGCCAGTTGCGAAAAGGCTCACTAATAATGTTTACCCAGACGAAAATCCTGTG